TGCTTCTGATTACAAAATGTGGCGCCTGCATTTTAATCTTGTGCCTGCAACTTCCTGAGGAGGAAGAAAGGTTTGATTAATGCACTTTTCTCAAGTGGAAGACAAATCTAGACGTGACTGTAATATTTTTAAAAAATATGCAACATTTTAATTTGGGTTAAAATGATCTTTGCAAATTTCAAGCAGTGAAATGAATAATTCCAAATTGAATTTTTTAGCAAAATAAATAATTCACATAAAACGCGGTTTAATAAGAACCGTGAAATTTTATTATTTACTGTTGATCTTTAAATAAACTGAAAATTTCTTTTTCTAATCAACACAAAAGGGTTAAATTATAAATAATTATATCATCTGAGCACAAATGTTAAATATTTCATTTAAAATTTGAATAATAAATTTAATATTAATTTTTTGTAATGTCTCAAAACTAGAATAAAAACACTTGAAAAAATTCCCATCTATATTTTTATAAGTGTAGGAGTTACTTTTTCTCAAATGCACCATCATGCTTTTGCAGCTGCCCTGCCCTTTTCAATCGTTTTATGTATCCCCCTATAGTTGTAGGCATTTTAATGAATTCCGAGCCACACGAGAAGGGCGGCGATCGAAAACGGTCTCCAGACGACGCTCATCTGGGCGTGGAACGCTTTCCTGAGATGACTTTTTAAAGAATTCATGCAACAAATCTATTTGCTTTGATTCACTCCACCCTCAGCCTGTGAGCACCCCCAACTATCGACCCCGTTTCCTCACTGTCATCAAATGATGAATGGAGATATTATTCTTGAATCTGATCGAATGAAAATGTTTTTAAAGTAAAATTTATCTCACAAACTTACCGTGTTTTCTATTGCCGGAATTTTCTTTCTCTGCGCGGAAATTTTTCTTCTCCCCCTTCTGCAGTTTTTGTTTCTGCGTGTAAAAAAGCGTCGAATTTTTATTAGCAGAAGCGAAAAGAGGGAGACGCGGATGAGAGTTGGTCGTCGCTTCCGTTAAGTGAAGAAGCGTTTCCTTGTCAGATTTTATACGCGGAACAAGATATTGAGAGCTCGGGGACTTAACGCACTTAAACTTATATCCTCTGAGAACTCGGCTGACGGCGGCACGCGATTGATTCAAATTGAAAAGTGCCGGCTGGCGGACCAAGAAGCGGCGACACTCCCGAGCTAGGTGTGTAAATTTGCATTTTTCATCCTCGGCCCCAGCGCGCCCAACTTATTTTTCGCACGCTCAGAGCACATACACTTCAACTTGGCGTCAAACTTTTTGTTTCTTGAAGTGTAAGACAATTTTACAACTTTCTAGAGCTCACCTTCTGTGAATAAAAATCTCAAAATCCCATGTTTAATTCAAGTTGTAAAAAATATAATCCTGAATTTTCATGTGCTTGAAAACGTAAAACCGATTTACGCCAAAATATAAATGATATATAAATATTAATCTGAAAACTTGCCAAATTTTATTTTTATTTTTTAAATTTAATTTTTTTATGCAATATACAAGTTTTTAATTAAGTAATTGTGATTTTGAATGTAATTTGACCAACAAAAAGTTTTGAAAAACACCGGCCCAGTCAGGTTTCGAACTCGGCTAGGTCGGGCCCGCAGGATTAGTGAACTGCGCCCCGAGCCCTTCCGACCGAGCCTATACCCTCTGGGCGTACCAGTGTCCGCGTAACAATGTGCTCAAAAAATCGGCTTATAAACAGTGACAGCCCCAACAACAATCGCGTATCACGACAGAATACGTGAAACATTACTTGATTGTTATTTGAGCAATATCAAAGTTTGCTCTAATTTTTGTGATGCGCGAATTTTATTTTTTCAATTTCAATATTTTATGCTAATACAAATTTTTATTTATTAAACATGATTTTAAATTTTATTTATCAAAATAAACTTTTGAAACGCAACAATAAAATAAATTTAAAAAATTAACGAGTCCTTGAAGATCGAGTCCTGAAAATCTTGCCAAATTTTATTTTTAATTTTGAAATTTATTTTTTTTATGCAATATACAAGTTTTTAATTAAGTAATTGTGATTTTGAATGTAATTTGACCTACAAAAAGTTTTGAAACGCAACAATAGAATAAATATAAAAAAATAATGAGTCCTTGAAGATCCAGTCCTGAAAAACTTTCCAAATTTTATTTTTAATTTTTCTATTTAATTTTCTTTATGCAATATACAAGTTTTTAATTAAGTAATTGTGATTTTGAATGTAATTTGACCAACAAAAAGTTTTGAAAAACACCGGCCCAGTCAGGTTTCGAACTCGGCTAGGTAGGGCCCGCAGGATTAGTGAACTGCGCCCCGAGCCCTTCCGACCGAGCCTATACCCTCTGGGCGTACCAGTGTCCGCGTAACAATGTGCTCAAAAAATCGGCTTATAAACAGTGACAGCCCAAACAACAATCGCGCATCAGGACAGTTTACGTGGAACATTTCTTGATTGCTATTTGAGCAACAATACAGTTTGCTCTAATTATTATTTTTGTGATGCGCGAATTTTATTTTTATTTTTTCTATTTCAATAATTTATGCTCATACAAGTTTTTTATTATTTAAACTTGATTTTAAATTTAATTGACCTACAAAAAGTTTTGAAACGCAACGATAATAAAATAAATATAAAAAAATAACGAGTCCTTGAAGATCGAGTCTTAAAACGCTTACCGAATTTTATTTTTATTTCTTCAATTTGATTTTTTTATGCAATACACAAGTTTTTAATTAAGTAATCGTGATTTTAAAATAAATTTAATGTAATTTGACCTACAAAAAGTTTTGAAACGCAACAATAAAAGAAATATAATAAAAATAACGAGTCCTTGAAGATCGAGTCCTAAAACGCTTGCCGAATATTATTTTTATTTTTTCATTTCATTTTTTTTAATGCAAGAAAAATGTGTGTTTTTTATTTAATAAACGTGATTTTAAATGTAAGAGATCCTACATAAAGTTTTGAAAAACAACAATAAAATATAAATATAAAAAAAACGAGACCTTGAAAATCGATTTCTAAAAAACTGAATTAACCAAAGCTCACTGCGGGGTCTTTTTGATCTCGGAAGTTTTAGAAAAATGTTTGCTAGTGGTGGTGACGTTTTGTCCGACAAATCCTTTTTTAAATAAAAATTTTTTCAACAATGCTATGTAAACAATATATTTGAAACAACGTGGACAAATAAATAATAATCTATCACAAAATTTGACTACTTCATTAAGCAACTGCGACGGTGAAAGTGTTCAGAAATAAAATAACTTCCTCTCTACCTTTCGGCAGTAAAACTTTTCATTCCTGACCTTTTCAAATTTCAACCACGCTCCCACGGTTTGTTTAACAAAAGGTCAGTCAGATTTTTCTCTCAAATTTTCCACGCAAAATTGCCTTTAATATTCAAAAGCAAGCAGAGTTTTGAAGCGGTTTCTCTAATTACACGACGTTTTACTCGGTTATCCAATTAAGCAGCGGTGCTTTTTGCACCTCGCAAGGTCAATCTTTTGAGCCGACCACTAAAGCTCTTATCAAAAAAGGGGCGAACAAACAAGAGCGAGCTGTAGTATTATGGTGTGCGTGAATTGCACGAACTGCTTGTCTTTGCTCGAAATGCGCGTCAAGTCCATTTTTGCGCGCTAACGAACTCGGCGCACCATTAAATACTTTGCAAAGATTCAGCAGACCCTTTTCCACTTTTCTCGCTAACTTTTTTTCCTCTCTTTATCTTTCGCTAGCTGCACCAGCACTTTTTCCTTTAATTCGAGCCCATGAAAGAAGCAAGGTGTGGTGTTTCTCTCGGCAGGAGGAGAATTCGAGTGGAGCTTAGGCAGGAAATACATCTCGCACCAGCTAGACGAATAATGCGCGCCAAGATGATTCTTGTTATGTCGTTTGCGCGAGATAGAGAGACGTACGAGCAAGAAAGGGGCGAATAAACTTTTATGTTATTACCCCCAAGAATAAAAGCTTAGAGCGCACATTTTTTATATTGGTCTCCCTACTTTTGCAGCTCTTTTTTGATGTACGGTCATCTGTGTAAAAGTTCGCTGCTCGCCGTTGGTGCTGCTCTCCAAAATAAAATCTGAATAATGGTCGTGTTTGCCGCTGCCGCCGCCGGCCTCCTTTAAGTGCTGTTCAGAGCGAAACTTAGGAGTTAATTACGTTTCTAATTTATTCGCTCGTTACTGGCTGTGCTGCTGGCAAATGTTGCGGCAAACCTCGGAAAGGAGATGTTGATGCTCTGGTTTATCTCCTGCACAGATGTATCGCTGTAGGAAAAAAACTTTCTGAAATAAAACTAAAAATTAAGCGAAACGAGAAAGCACTCATCGAGTGGTAAATTAATTAGTCTCTTTTGCCAGCTCTTGGTGTAAAAAAAATTAATGCTTTTAATTTTGCGTCACTGAGCACGCAGGGTTTTCATAAGCGTGGTATTATGACCAGTCTGTAAAGCAGTGTGAATTAAACATTGGCCAATCAGTCTGGCCGATAGAACGGCAGCCAGCAAGAGGGGCTTTTAGGGTAATTGAAATGCAACAAAAGTGCCGGCAGAACCCGCGGAGCTTGTCGTTTTTTGTGCGCCAATGAAGCAGACACTCGACCATGTAAAATTAGAGTGAGAAACACATGAGTGGTTTTCATTCGCATAACAAAATCCTTTGAATTACGCTTTCAAAATGTATTCAGTGCTAGAATCCTCAACATCAGAATTAATTTTAATAAAAAAATTGAATTAATTCTTCTCTTTTTTTCAAAGTAAATCTTAATGTGTATTCAGAAACTGACTGACAATGAGAAAACCAATGCTCGGAAAATGAATTAAAATATCAAACTTTTAACTTCTTTTTTTGTCTTAACTTATGAGTTTTAAGTGGAACAATTAATTTTTTGGAAAAGAGAAATCCGTATATGTTTTGAAAAGAATAAAAATTTCCAATTAAAAGTTGAAATTTTGATATTTTATTTCGTTTTTAGAGCATTGGTTTGCTCGCTCGGTTTCTGGATCTGCGTGAAGATTTCTTTTGAAAAATTAAAACTGAAACTGGAATACACTTAACAATTAACACGACACAACTCTACGAAAAAAATTAACAACATTTCTTACTCTGCTTATTATATTTTTTTATTTGAATAATACAACTATTTTAATTAAATTTTTAATTCAATTCCGGGCCCTCCTTTTACTTTTGAAGCCGCTCTCGATTTGCAGCAGCGTTCTGCCGCGAGTTTCCGGCAGTATTATGAACAGAATGATCGAGCCGATCGTTACGTTACATCCATAAAACCAGAACGAGCCATAGAAGCCTAAATTCTCCAACAGATAGGGAAACGATTTCACCGCAGCGAATAAAAGAGAATGTGCAAAGCAAACGGTGATTCCGCCGAGCAAACCGCGAATTTTGGCCGGATAAAGTTCACCTGTGAGCACCCACGGAATCAAAAGGTAGCCCAAAGAGTAGGCAATGTAAAAGGAGACAATGCAAATTATGGGCAGGTATTGCCAAATCATTGACTCGGAGGTCACAACACCCTGGGTGTGGAGATAGTTGTGGGTGGCCAAGCTGAGCATGGCGATGCCGGAGGCCACTCCGGACGCGATGGTCAGGGTGCGACGGTTGCAAATCGTCATTAAGTAGCAACCGATGACGTTGAAAAACAGCCTTAGAACGGCAAAGCTGACGGCTGTCTGGCTGGTGTCCACCTGAGCACCAGTGCTCTCGACGATTTGCACGTTGTAAAAAGTCAAAACACTTATTCCTGAAAGAAAAATATTTTTTTTATATAATTTCATTTTTAATTTCATTGTGTTTTTACCTGAGAATTGATAGGTGTAGAAATAAAAGGTGACCAAGGCCAACGGCTTAAGTGAGGAACCCTTTTTCAACTCACTCCACTTGCTCGTTCTTCTGCCGTCATCGGAAACGCCACCCAAATGTTCCAATTCCTCGTTGATAATTGCTTTAGGACATTTCGGGTCCCTCACAGCTTGCAAAGCGACGCGAGCCTCGATTTCACGTTTGTTTGTCAGATACCAAGTAGGCGTTTCGGGCAGGTAAATCAGAGACAGAATGACAGCGGTGAGGGGAACCAGGGATGATAGAATCGCTACGACTGGCCAGTAGAAAAGGGCTCCTAGTGAGTAGCCAAGGAGGACCCCAATTGAAATTGCCAACGACGCCAGAGAGGTCAATGCGCCTCTTTTGCGGGGTGTTGATATCTTGAATTATTCATAAAATCAGAAAATTATAAATTAATTAATTTCTCCAAAAATTAGCTCCGCGCTTACTTCGCTCGTGTAAATTCTGGCACTGCCAGCCGCAATGCCGGTGCCGAATCCCTGCAACACTCTGCCGCAATAAATTATGCTCAACGCGAGCTCGCTAGACACGTAGGAGGTGAGAAGTCCCGCCGCCCCAACCGACAGCCAGCCAAGTATGCACGGGATCGAAAGAAAAACAAGTGCGAATTTGCGTCCGTAGTGATCCATTATGTAGGCCCCGAATAAGCAGCCTGGCGGTGTTGCGAGTGACGCAATGCTCGCTGAAAGTTAAAAAAAAATATTAGGTTTGAATTACAAAATTTATCAGCCAAAAATATCGCAACAATTTTTGACACGAGTTGATTGATTACCAATCCAAGAAGCTTGTTCTGTAGTTATGGGAATTTCCGAATCTTCCGCCATCATTTCCGGCAGAGTCATAGCAGAAAATGAAAACATCAATCCAAGGTGAATAACTGCTAAATTTGCAACAATAGCGGCTCTGATCTGTGAACAATTTTTGTAAAAATTTGCCCATATTCAAATTTAATTAAAAAAATTTTCAAATATGATAAAAAAATTATTAGATAAATTAGTTAGAAAACAAAAATATTTAGGATAGCATTATACATTTTTTCTTACCTCATTGAACGCAGAATAAGATCGACTTTCTCTTAAATTTTCATTCCTTTTCTTTGATAGAAATTTCGCATGGCCCCCATATTTTCTACAAAAAGCACAAAAATTTTTAAAAAACCAAATTAGCAAAAAAGAGACTACTTTATATGATATTGATTAAAATTTTTGAGCTTACCCATGATCTGAATCAAGCATCGTTTCGGATTGCATTTTGTTATATTCCGATTTGAGGCGGTGAAAAAACAAGCGTCTCAACTGAACCTCTTATCGCCTGCAAATGAAACCTAAGCAAATAAGTGTTAATTAACTTTGTCTCGTGCACTCGTTCGCGACAGACTGAGTGTGAACAGGAGTTGAAAATAATACAAATTATCAAGATAAGTGCAAGCAACAGCTTTTCGGTCAGAAATAAAAGTTAAAAGAAGTCCACTGCTGACCGCAGCTGGAGGTATGTTTTGGCGGAATGTAATTTATTGCAAATTGTAAGTGGTGCTGTTTCCTTAATTCAGACGTCTTTGTAACTCAATGTCACCTTCTACTACAAAATTGGCCACTAGACCCTTTTTTTAATGTGTGCATTTTCATTAGATAAATATAAGAATAACATTGTGTTTACTAAAATTAATTGATTCAATTTTTATGCACCATGTACTTTATGTCTTTATGTGTCATGTAATGCTGATGTAATGTTATCAACCAAACAGTTATGATAGAAAATCGTTATTATATTATTGATATTGATATTATTATTCAAATAATAAGTTGCCAAAACTAACATTAAATTTGTAATTTATACTCAGTCAGATATAACGTGAGGCGGCTAAGATTGTTATTTGAACATTATGTTTTTAAAACATTAAAATAAATTTAATTATATTAAAAATTATAATAAATTATAAATTGTATTAAAATATCTAACAAAATCAATTAATAATTAAAAATATTGAGACTTTTAATTAGTAACAACAAAAATCATTATAGTTAATTCAAAATGACGTAATATTTATTTAAAACAATTTTTCGTGATGATCAAATCGACAGTCAATTCAGAGTGGGATTCCTTTTTTTCTTGAAGCTGCTCTCGATCTGCAGCAAAGTTCTGCCGCGTGTTTCGGGCAGTATTATGAACAGAATGATCGAGCCGAAGGCCACGGTGCATCCATAAAACCAGAACGAGCCATGAAAACCCACATTCTCCATCAGATAGGGGAACGATTTTACCGCGGCGAATAAAAAGGAATGCGCAAAACAACTCGTAATTCCACCGAGGAGGCCGCGAATTTTGGCCGGGTAAATTTCCCCGGTGAGCACCCACGCAATCAAAAGGTAGCCCAAAGAGTAGGTAATGTAAAAGGAGACAATGCACAGGATGGGCAGGTAATTCCACATTAATGAATCGGAGATCACTATTCCCTGGGTGTGGAGATAGTTGTGGGTGGCAAGGCAGATCATGGCAAGGCCGGAGGTCACTCCGGAAGCGATGGTCAGGGTGCGACGGTTGCAAAAAGTCAAAAGGTAGCATCCGATGACGTTGAAAAACAACCGCAAGATTGCAAATCCAACGGCCATTTTGCTTGTGTCCACCTTAGCTCCAGTCATCTCCACAATCTGAACGTTGTAGAAAGTGAGAACACTAATACCTAAAAAAATTTATTATTAAATTCGATTACCAACTTAAAAAAATTTAAAATTTACCTGAAAATTGGTAAGTGAAAAAGTAAAATACGACCATCGCTAAGGGTTTCAAAGAGGAGCCTTTTAATAATTCCTTTAACTTGTTTGATTTGCTGTCAATTTCCAAGACGCCACCCAGGTGATCAAGTTCGTGGTCGAGTAGCTTTGATGGATACTGAGGGTCCCTGACTGCCTGCAGGGCGACACGCGCTTCTTGGTTGCGTTTCTGCGTGAGATACCACGTGGGCGTCTCGGGTAGGTAGACGAGTGACAAAATAACTGAGGTCAGTGGCACCAGGGCGGAGAGAATCGCGACGACCGGCCAGTAAAACAAGGCGCCCAAGGAATAGCCGATGAGCACCCCTGTCGAGACGCCCAGCGAGGCGAGCGAAGTGAGCGTTCCCCGCCGACGAGGTGTCGAGATCTGCGAATTTTTTTTTCGTCAAATTTTGCGCCTTGTTCGAAATAAAACGGCGGCCGATAGATTGAAAAAAGAGATAAAGGCCAGGGGGGAATTTTTCCTCTCTTGGTCGCTAAGAGCTTTTTGATGGGTACGTTACCTCGCTCGTGTAAACCCTCGACGCTCCAGCCACAATGCCAGTGCCAAATCCCTTCAGCATTCTGCCACAGTAAATTATGTTCAGCGCGAAATCGTTAGACACGTGCGGGGCAACGAGTCCCGCCGTCCCCACCGACAACCAGCCCAGAATGCACGGAATGGCAAGAAGAACAAGTGCAAATTTGCGTCCGTAACGATCCATTATGTACGCGCCGAACAGGCATCCGGCTGGAGTGGCGAACGAAGCAATGCTCGCTGCGCAATATTAAATACGGTACTTTTTTTAGTAAAAAATTTAAAACTTTACCAATCCATGAGGCCTGTTCTGTTGAAATTTTTATGACCGAGTCCTCTGCCATCATCTCAGGCAGGGCCATTGCTGAGAAGGAAAACATCATTCCAGGGTGAATGACAGCCGAATTTGCCACAAATGCGGCTCGAATCTACAAATAAAAAAAATCAAAGTTAAATAAGTGACTGAATTATGAATGATATTAATCAATTTACTTCTCTGAAAGCGGAAAGTCTTCCACCGGAAATCTCTACTTCTTCAGATAACAGTACTTTTGATTCTTTAATTTCTCTGAAAATTAAAGAAAAATTACACCAACCAAAATATGCAAATAATTCAAATTTAAAGTAAAAGTTAATTTATTTATTGGTGAGGATTACAAAAATTAAGATCTATAAGGTCTGAATTTAAAAATTAAAAGCTCAATTTAAATTTATACACTCTTGATTACGCGGAGCTTTTGCTTAGTCTCTGCGTTTTAGCGACTTGTTCACCTAAGTGCTGCCGTTTCTTCATATTTGTATTTTTTTCTCTGCTGACTTCATTTGCGGAGAATAATCAAGAAAAATAAATAAATTTCTTCAATTTAAAATATTTAAAACTATTAATGTGCAATGGCATAATGTAAATATTAATTAAAAATTTATTAAAAATACAGATTTTTCAACACGACGGATCAATCTTATAATATTTGTACACTAATCGTTTTTAATATAATTTTAATAAGAAAGAAGATAAAAAAAATATTCACTTGCTGTTATCTTCTCCAAATGAAACTTTACGTTGAGATGAACACATTTTCCCTGTCGAGGATGGAGCAGAAGCTCCACTTCTTGTCTGGTTCTGCGCCGCGGCCACTCGACACCTCTATCCTCAAGAGATTGTCGACAGCAAGTGACGCAGGGACTTACTGTCCTTCTTATTTGAAGAGAGTGCCCAGCAAGGCAGCAGAATCGTCCGATTGTCCACCCAAGGCCAGACAACACGAGAACGCAGTTGTAATTTTATTTAGCCAAAAAAGAACCCACATTAGATCGCCTCTCTTTTATCAGCTTTTTATTTAAGTACGAAACAAACTCGCATTGTTGCGATTCACCGCGGGTCGCCGTGTTGCTGAAAAAGTGGCAACTATTTAATTATAACTCCCCAAAAGCAATGCCGGCGTCGCTTTTCATGTCACTCCTACTCGATTTTAGGCGGCCGGGATAACAGACAACCCGTGCTTCCATGCGGAAAAATCAGATATTCTATTAATCGCCTTTTGAATAAAGCGCTCGCTGCTGCTGGTTAAGTTGACTTTCAGGGTGAGAGAGCACACAAATTTCGATTCAAAGGAGCACGTCAAAGATAAACAAATGCGCGGGAGGCAGTGTTTTATCGCAAAAGATCAAAGGGAGTCAAATTTAAATTGCCCCACTCAAACGAATAATAATTTTGCACAGAGAGATCCACCATTCGCGAAATTCCATACCGGCGTGTGTTGGTGGTTGCCATGAGAGCAACACGCAAGTTTATTTCTAAAAATCCGGTGGGATCTCGTATCACTATGCAGTGCTGCGTTCGGAAGGTGGATGATTCGATCGACATGCCTGTTGGTTGACCCGCTCAGAATTGATACGCGTACGTCTGCAAATCACGTCTGATAACAGCACAAGAAGGTAAACGATTTGCCAGGCGACGTGACCCGAATGTCACATCGCTCATGTTTTCCTGCTCTTGCTAGATGTATATTTTTTTTGCAGCAAGGTGCACTCCAACTTGATTCCTTCCGCTGCGGTAAACGCTTAAAAAATTTTTCACTTTTTAGGACGTAATGATATAAATATATTTTACTCCTTTATTTGTGTTGAAAACAAATCTCTTTACATGAAAATTTGCACACAAAGCAGCAAGCTTTTGAAAATAATCTCCTCTTTGATATTTGCTAATTGCTCGACACGGAGGCAATACACGCGAGCGCCGGCAAAAGTGAAAGCGTCGCTTTTGGAAAATCACAAAGAGGACGGGCGAGCGAGTGCCGGCGGGAAACAAATTGCTGCGACAGAGCGGCGGCTCACTTTTTTTTGCCGCTGCCTAAACTGCGCGACGCGAGGGCCTAAAATAAATAAATGGATCAGCGGCGGAAAAGTCTTTCAAATCTTGTTGCAAAAAGCGGCAAAGCCATTTTTCAGATACCTGCAGAGAGGCATTATCTTAAGGCCGGATCACAAGAGGGTCTTTCCTTCCTTCCTTTTCTCGTGGATGATTCAAAAGCAATTTGGCCCCCGCGCGCGCTTTTTAACGTCCATAAAACAAAGAGCGGCTTTTAAACGTCATAAAAATGAAAAACAATTTGCCTGCGCGCGCGGAGGTAGCAACATAAACATAAATCTTGCGCGGATGTGTCAGTGTTTTTTGATGGCCCCTGAATTTTAAGTTTCCGGCCGCCCCGCCGAGACGAACTCGCGCAGGCATCATCAGCGTTAAGAGCTCAAGCATCGGATTAATTTCACCCTTCCTCGGCTGGCAATTTAATTACTGCTCCGGCAATTGCTGATCTCAACAGCATCCCCTCCCAAGAGTTTCTCCAACCGGCAACAACAACGTGATTTTTGAACCGCACCTCTAATAAGCAATTTATGTGCTGTAGCTCAATTTTAATAACTGGAATTTGCCATCTTCAAAAATTTATTTGTTAATTAGATTCATGCTATTAAATTTCGGCATATAGTGGTATACCAAGCGATTTTTACAACTTGCAAAATATTTTATCATTACGTCAATAACTTGAGCCCTTTCCATGTTGAATAGAAAATTAAAAGTAATGAGAATAAATAAAAATAAACACAGATTTTATTAAAATGATTTTACTTTCTCATGTTTATAGCAAATTATAGCATTAGAAAATATTTGTATAAGCATTAAAAATTAAAATCCGCAAATTGAGACTTCTTAACATCTTAAGCGTTATTTGAGAAAAACTCAAATCCATATAAAAAACATTTTTTTTATTATTTATAAAAATGCCTGCAATATATTTTTCAAACTCCAATATATATCTGACTCCTGGCATAAATTTGACAAGTTTATGTATATTTAAATTTACACAAGTCATAATTTCATCATCATGACACTTTTCAAGATTTTGCGACGAGACACCAACTTTATAAAAATTCCGGCCCGCTCCAGAAATGTGGTTAAGTGCGAGATATTGCAAAAAGCACTGCGCCATCTTTAATCAACTCGCCGAGTGCAAAGTTGAAATCCGTCGGGTAATTGGCACTTGCAGACGTCATAATTAAACTCGGCCTCCTCTTCTCTTCCTCCCTCGTGAAATGTTGCTCTCGACGCGAGTTTTTCAATTTCGCGCAGCCGAAAAAGTTGCGGCTCGTAAACAAAATAGTCGACGAGACCTCGGAAGGTTCACGCCGTCGGCGATCACTTTTTACGCGTGGCACGACAGTTTGTCTTCCTGCAGCGATCAGAAAACTTTGCGCACAAAACTCGGCAAACCCATACATATAAAGGCACACACATTTTTTCAGCGCAATATTTCTGCACCAACTTTTTCCACCACTTGTACATCGTTCGGCTGTCAGACAAATATTTGCCAGCTTTAAAAACGACCGGCCATATTTCGCCGCAGCTCAATTTTTTACGACTGGCGTGCGTGCCTTCGGGCCGCGGTGTCAATTTCGAGAGGAATCCGTCAAAATTTGTTTCGGCCTGCGTGTGCCCAACTCACGCTCCTTTTTTTAGGGCAATCAAAATGCCTTTTCTCAGTCAGATCACAAGAATGAGTTTTGATGAGCAATTCAACATGTGTCAGTTTTTAAATATTTAAATTTAAGCTTCCATCTTGTAACATACTGAATAATTAAAACAATTTTAAACGCTTTTTTAAAAATTATTTTTAAAATATTATAATGTATTTTTCATTTTTCATTTTTTTTTTATTTATTTGTCAATTAAACAAAATTGTCTATTTATAATAAAATATTAAAACAATTTGTGTTAATTTGTGTACAAATAACATGCCACCATCACAGATGTTATATTATTTAATATTGAAAATTAAATTTTACAGTACCTATTTTTACCTTAATTATTCAGTAACAATGAAAAGAAGAAACGGAACAATTTTTCAACTGTTTTCAACGAAACTCCATAATAATTAGCTGGATATGAATTTCAAAACGTAATTCTTAATTTTATTTCAAATACATTTATAATCAAAAGAGGAAGTGATTCATTCTAAAAAAGCGTTTCATGCAATATAAATCCAGTCCACTCCACTGTGACATTACTGGCTGCGCACATTAGTCGAAGGCATTAATGCAGATATATGAACACGTGCTTCAGTGCCATAAATTTAATACGATTTAAAAGTTGGTCATTGAAGTCCTCTCCTCGCTGGTGGGAGCTGCACCGAGTCAAAGTAGAATCGATTTTGCATGAAAAGGCACCGAGCTCTCTATTCGTATGTATGATTCGTGCGTCCCGCCGTCAATGACTTAATAATGAGCACATTAATAAATTTATTACACACGAAGCTACCACACGCACGGAAGCGAAGGATAATGCATGAGAGAGACGCGCGGCGGCTGACGCTTCCATATAAATTAGTCCGCCGGAGAATGATTTATAGACTGTGAGTGCATTCATTATTGAGCCGCCGCCGATCACGAAGAATGAGATTAATACGGAGCTCGCGCGTCGCCGCCGAAACCAATTTTATTCTACTGTCGTACAAAAGGAGCAATCAGAGAAGACAGGATAATGTTTGCTTTGATAAAATCTTTTCAAAACAACAAACGCATGATAAAAAAATTCACAAATGTTTTGAAGGAGCATTTTTATTGCTTTTGAATTTCCCATTATTATCATTATTATTTAATTTAAATTTACTTGTATTAAATCATAAATTTATTTTTCAAAGATATTTTTTGTTATTTAAAAGTAAATAATTGTACAAAGATTCAATAATTGAGAATACATCTTTCCATCCTAGACTCAACATTTCCCCATTTGGGGTCTTAGCTGGAATTTATAAGATTCCGGATAATTAATCAAAAATGTTTTTTAGACATACTGATAAAAGATTTGTTTGAATAAATTATTAAAATATATTACGGCGATATGGATTAACTGATTAAAATTTATATATTTATACAAATCATTATTATTGAGCCTAAACAAACACAACATTTCACACAAAACGGCGTTGATTTAGTCATCCAATTAACAAAACTGGCTCGTTGCTCACGAAATTGACCAGTCGAAATTTCATCAGACACACAATTATGCGGACACTCCATATGCAAACATTTTGATTACATTTGCAGAGTAATTGCAGTGATAATAACGCAGCGGCTGCTCGTCGAATGTCTCTTCTCGACGTCCATGCGAATGATAATAATGTTAATTAGAGCAGCGCGCCTGTGAAATAGGTCAGCTGGAGCATTTTGTCTGCCCGCGTCCATTATTGCGAATTAATATTATTAGTCCGTTCGCTCCATCTAGGCGAGCGCATATTGCAGCATTGATTTAATAATAAATCATGAACATCCATTGTCAGAGCCATCAGTGCCGATGCAGTCGAGAGTCGCTAAGCTGTCATGCTTGTAATAAAAAGGCTTTGCCCGCTTTTTATCCGATTTTATTGATGATGCATCACTAAAAGCTTCTTCGAAACAATGAAAAGCATGCCATAAATAAATCGGTGGCTATGCAACCGGCTCGGCATTGTTGTGGCGCGGGTTGCCGCGTTCGACTGCAACCCCCTGTTTCAAAATGGATATCCGAACAAAATAGTGACGAAAATCTTAACCAAATTCTTTTTCATTCTTGTGGAATCCACCCGCTAAAAAATTGGCTCCTCTTCGTGCAAACAGTCGGAGGAGAGACGCATAAAAAATGCTCCTCTGCGTGTGTATGTGTCCCAGAAAAATAGTTAAATTGTGCAAGGG